ATATATATGATTAATCATTTTATAATGGGTAGATGAATTAGTATTTAGACCCAATGAAGTGAGTATTTAGTGGAAGCTGAACAGGTAACAATAGCAATTTCTGACACTGCCGGCATCACATGGCTCTTAAATAAACACCTTCCGCTTCTCTTTAGCTTTCCTGTTTATACAAAGATCTATTTGCTGTACTCCAGAACGTTCTTGTGATTTGGTTGAAGTCTGAGTGAGTGAGTTTTTCTTCAGTGTTAGAAGGTGTAGTGTGACCATTAAATAGCAGCATGGTCCTGGGAATGTCATATCCTCTGTGATTCTGAATATCTCTGTCTGCTAAATGACAGATTTGAACTACATCATTGGCGTTAAAATATTTTCTTAACAGAAGCAAGTTTTTCTCAAAAGTAATCTCTTATAGAACGCCACTATATCAAACTGATAAAATCAGAACTGGTGTATGAAATGTGTTGGCATGTCTATGTGTGTATGGGAATGGGGTTTGTGCCCAATTTGATGGACAGAAAATATAGTCCATTAAACATCCTTTGAGTCACGCTGCCTACCTCCTACCCCCACCCACCCTTGACCTTGCACACAAATCTACTAGCCTTTGCGACAACTCTAAGAGAATGCTAGAGACCCACTGATCACAGTTTGAAAATCGATATTATAAACACTGGTTTCTACTCATGGTTTAACATTTTATGAACATGTGATTTTAAAGTTCAGAAGACCCCGTATTCCTATTACTATGTAACATTAATTTTGATCTTGTTAGGTTTTATGTGTATATCAATACTAACTTTCAACAGGAAGCACAAAGAAAGCTGAGCTGTTGGAAAATGTGCTAATACATCACACACACATTCAAACGCACAACCTGTTCCAAAGCCATAGAGCATTTTCTTATGACGTTCTTTTGGAACTGCTTTGTGACCATTTCATGCACCAGTGCTGGTATCTTTGGGTGAAGTGGTTTCTACTTGGTCGTAAATTTCACTTTGCTTCGTTGTACACATGGAACAAACCCATCTCATTTGTTTTCCTAAAAAGGCAGAGTTTTTGTAGGGTGTGTGTGTGTCTTTTTTTTTTTTTTTTTGTACAGTAAAAAATATATGCCCGGCTGGCATGGTTCAGTGGTTGAGACTTGGTCACGATTTGATTCCTGATCAGGGCACATGCCCAGATTGTGGGCTGGATCCCCAGTATGGAGCATGCAGAAGGCAGCAGGTCAATGATTCTCTCTCATCACTTATGTTTTTTTCTCTCTCTCTCCCTTCATCTCTGAAATCAATAAAAAAATATATTTTAAAAATATAGAGTGGCCCTAGCCAGTATTGCTTAGTGGATAGAACGCTGGCCTGCAGACTGAAGGGTCCCAGGTTCAATTCTGGTCAAGGTCACATGCCTGGATTGCAGGCTCAATCCCAGTAGCGGGTGTGCAGGAGGTAGCTAATCAATGATTCTCTCTCATCATTGATGTTCCTATCTCTTTCTTCCTTTCCCTTTCTCTCTGAAATCAATAAAAATATATTTTAAAAAATAATAATAAATAACAATATAGAGTAAAGCATGGGAATTCTATTTAAGAAATATCAATACATATTCATGTATGGATTGAAGAATATAAAATATGATATAACTTCCCTAGAAATCATATAAATAAAATTTCTGTGGAAGACAACTATATTACTCAAAAAAATCCCCAAACTTCAATAAACAAACCAACGCCACAGAGGCAACTGATTGATGTATTTAATGCTATTGATAAAGTAGAACACTTTTAGAGAAACATAAAGAAGAGACTGGCATACTATTGTTATTTACTATTCATTATGTTATATTTATCAAGTGATGGCAGTAAAGAAAATAGAAATATGAAAAATAGGAATATGAAAATATTAGTAATGGTATTTCGAATATCATTAGAAATGGTATTCCTAATATCATTTGCATTTTTCTCTCTTCTTACTATAAAATGGGTCTCCTGTTACAATATAATTATGTTGTTTTGTTCATTGTTGTATCCCCAACAATCTTTTTAATAGCTGGTACATAGTAGGTGACAAATGTTTGCAAATGAATAAACTGATATGTGGTAATATGGGCCGAGAGACAGCCTCATGAATTTCATTGAGTATAAAAAGAGAATCCTTCTGAGGTCAAGGCAAAAAGCTCAAATATGAGTGGGATAAAAATAACCTGGGCTCAAATTCAAAGGACATTCAGGGCTGGAAGGCCATGAAGAGTTGCCTGTAAATGTCATGAAGGAAATTAAGTTTAGATTGTGGTAAAGATAGAGTACCTTATATATTATACTAGAGGCCCGGTGCACAAAAATTTGTGCACTCGGGAGGGTGGGGAGGGGGGTCCCCCAGCCCGGCCTGTGCCCTCTCGCAGTCTGGAACCCCTCGGGAGATAACGACCTGCTGGCTTAGGCCTGCTCCCGGGTGGCAGAGGGCAGGCCCAATCCCTAAGTGCAGCCCCTGGTCAGGCTCAGAGCAGGGCAGATTGGGGAGTTGGGGCGCCGCCCCGTCATGCACAGAGCAGGGCGGATAAGGAGGTTGTGATGCCACCCTCAGTCACGCTCAGGGTAGGGCCGATTGGGGGGTGGGGGC